ATATAATAAATATAATATTTCACTCAAGTGAAATAAAGGACATTTTTCCAGCCTCTCTTTGTCAAGTGTTCATGATCTGCAGCACAATTTAGTCACTTATTTCCCCAAGGTCCTTGCCCTTCAGCTTCCCTCAAATACATACTTTACATCTCCTTTTGAAACAACTGACAAAACTATTAAAAAAAAAAAAAATAGAGGCATCAGCGCAGAACCCCCAAGTTTTTTTTAAGAAAGACAACCCCAGAAGTTTAGAGAGCAAAATAAGCTCAGATAATCTTAGTTTGATTTCTGAGGGATGTGGCAAGGGCAGGAGAAACCAAATAGCTACATTTGGGCTTCTTCACTTTTCTCAAAGCAGATGAGGAAAAATAGCAGGCCCAACTTGCATGACATAAAGAAAATAAAAGTTACTAACTTTTCTACAGGCTCAAATTTGGCTTTTACTACTAGAGTGTCCTGCATTCCCGCATCTTTTCAAAATACACATGCCCCAAGAATTAAAATTAGGGTAGAATAAAACTTTTAGGGTAATTCCTGCTATTAAAGCAACACTTATTACTTCCTTCTCCTATCAGCAGGCGCTGAATGCGTTACACGCAAGCTATGGCAACAAGAAGGCCCCAAACCTGGCATGCTTTCACACAATATTTATTATGCCAGAGCCCACATCACCTAGCTCAGAAACTCAGCGGTAAACGGGAGCAACATTAAAACTACCCAGTAAGACTCCGGCCTTAATCTTTCTTGATTGATTTGAGTTTTTGTGCCACCCAATAACGTAAGGGTCTCTGGGGGCGTTAAAATAATTCAGAACACATTAACAAAAGCCTCAGTCAATGTAAAAACTACATAAAAGACTGCATTAAAATGTGTATTAGAAAATAACAGAACCATACAACAGACAAGATAAAAAGAATTGACAGTCGCAATGAACACAGCATGAAGTAACCCTAAGAAAGCAGAACCAAAACAGTGAATTTCGAAAGTACCATTTTAAATGCTTGGAAAAATACAATGTTTTCACCTGGAACCAAAAAAGGGCCAAAATGCCAGTAGCATAATGTAGAAACCTGGCAAAGCTTCTATTTACACCATGCTACAAATCCGATACCTATTATATTTCAAAGCTGAATATTACCCCAAAGCGCTTGTTCACTGTTACATCTAAAGGCTGTAAAACTGAACTGAAGTGAACAAATCAAAACATTTTGAGGTTTCATGCAGCTTTTTCAAGTTGCCAGGAATTTATAACTAGGTATCAAGGAGCCCAATGCACAGGGAATAGCTTAATTAAAAATGTTGCTATTTAAACAATCAACGGTGCACCGATGTAAACAACTAAAAGAATTGTAAAGCTGTTAATTTTAAACTGTACTCTTGGTCCCTTGATAGTTCAGTTCTGTCTAACGCGTGTGTGTGTGTGTGTGTAGTGTGCACATCATATACTAACCACATTTCAAGGCTGCAAAGATCACTGAATTTTTGAAATCCTAATTTATCTGCAAGCTTACAAAGGGGCACTATTTATAAGCAGTGATGCAGCAGTTTACAGATTTGTTACCCCCCAAAAAAATCCAATTGTATTTCGATGATGCAACATTAAATTAAGTAACATTTGAGTCAGTAGCAAATATAAAAACACTCCTCTGGATGTAGTCATAGGTTAGCGAAGAAAGATGCTCTAGGACTATTCTGGAGGCGTACAGCTCTTTCTACCAGCACAGAGTTGTGTTGCAGAATTACATAATGCACCCTGGATTTGTTTACTTATTTAGTGCCACAATCAGCAAAGCGAACATTTAAGTTGCCAAGATATTGGCGTTTCTACTTACTGATGCGTTGGCTGCCACTGGAGCAGATGTGTTAGAATTTTCTTGCCCACAAAGTTGATTTTTCTCATTCGTCCCATGGGTTACAAGAATTCTGAAATGCTGCTGCCGTGAGTTTTGATCTGGACAAATTTTAAATGTGCATCCTTGCCCTGGGGAAACCCGCTCAACTGAATTGCTTCTGGACATTTCGGGGCCATGCTGGTCATTTCCACACCGTGCCGAATTCATGCCATCGTCTTCCGTGGGGGTAATTCGCTCTGCCTGCGGCTGAACTGGATACGAGGTGCTCCTTTCCAGCCGTATCCGTGGGTACCTGACCAGTCTGTCGCCTTTTGTTCCGGTAAAACCAAAATTATAATCTGCTCCTGCACTATTTGACTGAGACTGCTGCAACTGAAAAATAAATAATTTTTTCCCAGAACTGACTGACCCATCTGGCAGGTGTTGCAGAGACCAGCGTCTAGGTTCTGAGGAAGAAGCATTATTTTGGGTCTCTGGACCAAACGGCATCAGCGTAACATGAGGCATATCCACACTTGAAGCCCGATGCTGAATCCTTACCCCACTAATGTTTAAATCCAGCGCAGGTTTGTTTGTGTCCTCATCTTGACCACTGGCCGCACCCTTGTTATTCCAGTTGTTAGAAGGTATTGTACAAACTATTGTGTGGTTAGAAGGTCTTCCATTGACCTCATGTCCCATGTTCTCAAGTTCCCTAGGTGGAGAATTCTCCGGAGTTACCTGTGAACTACTTGGAGAGGAATGGCTTCCATCAAGAGATGTACACCGCTCCCCTAAATCAGAAAAGTTACATGACTCCTCTGGAGGAGACCCACATTCATCAGCATGTCCATTTATAGCGTTGCGCTGAAGGGAGATCTGCATGGATGAGCTCCTCATGGGACGCGCATCAATGCTGTTGAGAAGCTGTGGAATAAACATGGATGTGCTTCTTTTCAAGGAGCCACCTTCTCGCAAACGGCCGCTGCCATCTTCACAATCAATTCTGCGCCTGGAGAAAGGGTGAGGCCCGTTCCTTCTTGGCAAAGTGTGGAATGCCATGAAAAAGTCGTCATTATCCTCCCTCTCATGGTCTAGAATCTCCGATTCAGGAGCTGTATTGCTTCGTCCTGAGCCAAAATGAAACCGCAACCGATGGGCCATGGTCTCGGGAGAAGGCAGAGGAGAGGGAAGGCAACGAGCCCAGGCACTGCCAGCCGTTAAGAACTGAAGACATAAACTCCAAGAAAAAGTGTCCCATCTGCCAAAGTGTTAGCACTGCTGCACTGATAGCGACAGATAGCAGAAATAGCCCAAGTGGCAAGCGACATTCCATGCGTGGTTGGGTAAGACCAATCGGTGCTCCTCCACACTGTGACACAGGGTAGGAGGGCTGGCATCACATGACCTGTTTTCCCCTCTCCAATACAAGCGACTATTTTTTTCCCCCTCTCTTTAATACCAGCAAGAGCCTGAAACAGCACCTTCCCAGCTGCTCCTTTTCCATCAGAAAGGATCGGTCCCAGCGGGAGATCTCTCACAGCTGACTAAGGCAGCAAACACACTCAGCTCTGCTATAAATCTACACCGCATCATACTCACAGAACACTTTTGTATTATGCCAAAAAACAAAGAAAAGGAGTGGAGTGGGGAAAAACTGCACACACACACACATGCACGCACGCAGAGGAGACTCCCCCTCCACCCTGGTCAAATTGCCCTTGATATGCTATCAACAGTCTCATGCTGACCAGATATTGCCAGCCTGGAAAGGCTGGAGGAAGGCGTGCGCGTGCACACACACACACACACACACAGATTGTGTTTATTTAAGCCTCCTAATGTCTTTTGACTATTACAAGGAAATATTGCAGGCAAAAGGGTAGGAACGCGCTCTTTCTCCCCTTCTAGTGAAAAGTGATTTAAGTAGTCCTCTCTCTGCTGTAGCAACCAGACAAGATATCAGGTTGCCACTGCAAACAAGCTGTAATAACCTGCTTCCACCGCATTCAAACTTTTCCAGGAGAGAAAAGGAAAGAGACTCTTACATGCACAATTCAAGAAGCAACCATCCATCTTCCTTTTCCAGATTTTAGAAGGCAGAGCAGGCAATAAAAGCTGGAGCAGGGGTGGGCATGAAGAGCTGTACAGATTTTGACTTACACCCCATACTAAAGGTGGCCGCCTTCCAGTGAGAAAGTGAGCAATATTAGAAAGGTTGAACTGCCAGCGAGAAAGAGAGCTCTGCTTTATTAGGAGCCAAGAAGCGTCAGAAGAACAGACAGATGGACGGGAACCCAAAATTAAACAATGCCTGAACTCGGTTCTGCTGTGTGAGTGGTAGTTTAGAAAGGGGTGGGCAGATACAGCCAACCTACAGCCTCAAAATGTGCGGGCAGCGTGAATCAAAAACTGGGTCAATGAAACCAAACTGTTTATTACGGAGACAAAATAAAACCACCACTTGCTTTATAAATGAGAACTTCCTAGCAGAAGCTATAGGAAAAAAAAAGAAAAGAAAATCAAGGGAGTGTCAACCCAGAATGATTCCTGGATATGTAAGACTTAGTTTTCTAATGATTTATTTCACATGGAGAAAGAAAACAGTTCCCAGAGGGGAAAAAAGCTTTCAATAATTAAAATGCCAAAGGTCAGCGTAATCCTCTGTTTTGTTAAACAGGCAAGAAAAAAGCAGGGATAATAATAATGATCATCATCTTCTGCTGCTGCTCTGGATGAAGTCTGAAACATCTTTAGCATATTTAACACAATTTGGGGGCATATTTCAATCTTATTTGATTAATCAACATACCATAACACTGAAACTACCTTTGTAACCTTTCTCCAAAGGCTTCAGTGTTTATTTTAACCATTTTAAGCACTTACAAATATATGTTTGGAACTCCAGAGAGAAATTATTTTGGTAACAAGTGATTTGTAATGAATACAAGCTAGTAAAGAACAGTTTAAATATTCATTGACTTCTGTTTCTACTCCAAAGGTTGTCTTTTTCTTTGAAATGCATCTATAGGCTCCATTACTTACAACATGCATTTTTAACATATATATTTGATTTAACCTGTTTTATAACCCTACTTTCTACCAGTATAGGTATCTGCAATAACTTACCACCACCTACACTGTCCATTATAATAAAATCAGAGCAAAGTTCCCTGGGGAGAGGAGAGGAGAGGAGAGGAGAGGAGAGGAGAGGAGAGGAGAGGAAGTAGATACATTAAAATATAAAAATGAATGGGTACTCAACATTCATTAGATCATAAATAAAAAGAGCATTACGTGAATTTTTAAGACAGGCTTGGTTCAAATTTTTAGTTGAAATGTCAGCAACATAGAGATGATGTTGGCAAGTATGTTGGGCTAAAGAAGTTTGGGAGCTACCATAGCAAAGCCTCTTCATTTGTCAGCCACTTATTGGAAGAGGGACAAAGCAGAAGTTGTTAACCTGAGTGGAGGATTCATATGGAAGCTTCAAAGTCACACCACGCTGTTCTTCAGTGATTACAGAAATGCTGGGAGACAGCTCAGGTTAGCTGATCCTGTGTTAAACTGGTCTCTCATCTAACACTTTTGAATATCCCCTTCCCCGATCCAAGCCTAGAAATCTTACTGCCTAAATTGAATTAGCTTCTTTTCTACATTTTTACTACATTTGACATCTGTCTCCCAGTAGGTCCAAGGTTCTGAAGCTACTTCTGAAGGCCTTAATAACTATTTACTATCTTTGTGTCAATCTGCACGGGAACTGTATTTATTAGCCTCTTATTACTAATGCATACTACATCTCTCCACATCCCACTTTTAAGAAATGTTTTCCCTAGTGGGGAGAGGGAGAGAAAGAACATTTAAATGTATGGCACAACGTTCTCATGTATAAAATCAATAAATATAGGAAAAAACACTCACCAATCTATTTTCATCAAACACTTCAAACAGCAGTCTATGATTAGATGGATTTACCTATAAGAGAACAAACACAGAATTCTATAAATCTAATCTCATTTGGCTCTTCAGCTTTTCTTTCACCCATGATGCTTGTTTTAAAAATGGAGTTTCATTTTCTCCAAGAGTTCCAAATTGGGTCTATATATGTACACACTGAAGACCCTCCCCCCTTAGGTCATATTCTTTACTAACCCCACCCGGATCAGGTGGCAATATTTAGCTGACTTTGGTCAACCCCAGAAAGCTCAACAGGGTTAAATTGGATTGGGATGGGATGGGAGAAACTAGGACACCCTAAGGCTGTAAGCCAGTGTTGTCCAAACTTAGCCACTTGGCTGGCTGGGGAATTCTGGGAGTTGAAGTCCACTCATCTTAAAGTGGCCAAGTTTGGACAACACTGCTGTAAGCAGATTGAGAAGGTGAAAAAATTCTCAAAAGATGGCAATGGCCAAACACTTCTTGGTCCCCCCTCCTGCAATCAAGAGGGAAGGATAGACAAGGAGGCAAATGGGATCTCCAGACTGAAACCTGGCAAGACAAAAGCAGGATTGGAAAAATGAACAGTGTGAAACAGAGGTTGCATATCTACTCAAAAAACCTTTATGCAGCTGCACAGGTTGTCCAGCTTTTCAATTTGAAAATTACTTCTCTCTAGGAATTCATCAACATTTCTCAGTCTATTAATTCAGAGTAAAGCACTTATTGTCCATAATATTTTACTCCAGTGAATAAACCTCACACGAAGATGATTGTCTGATCTCCATGAAAATAAAGGAGCCATTGAGGAATTCCATGCTCTCTTGTGTGTGCATGATGAATGTCACGGAAACTAGCAATGACCAGTTCTTTCTCCCAGCCATGGTCAGGGGAGGGGAAAAAAGAAGACACTTGGACAATACTGGTTGACAAACTAAGCCTAAACATTGAAATCAAATGAATGAATGCACCCTGGCTTTAAAAAACTGGAAAATAAAGCAACACTATTCACAATGTGCCAAGAGATATATAACCAAAGACGTCTGTAACAGTAATCTAAATTCAAAAAGGCAGAAAACTCCAAGCCAAATCATCAAATGCTGATCTCTCAAGTTCTACAGTCTAGTTGAGTATTAACTATTCTCAGGATCTTCAATATGCTGGACCATTCTCCAGCACCAGACAGATTGCCTGCCCACTCAATTTATTTAACATAAACAACTACATAGGATGTAGGAATATAACAGCATAACCAGTGCCCTGCTGGATCAGACCCCTGCCCCATCTAGCCCAGCACTGGCCTCCTTTCTAGGCTAAAAAGCCCCAGATGTCGTAACTTTCCTGATAGGGAAGCTGATCCAGCCCTTGATCATCTTATTTGCCTTCTAGTTCCAGTATATCCTTCTGAGGTGACCAGAAGTGCACACAATATTCCAGGTGAGGTTGCACCATTGATTTATATAATATTTATATAAAATAATATTTATGTATTTATTATATAATATTGGCATCTCTATTTTTGATACTGTTTCTTATTATCCCTAACATGCCATTGTCCTTTTTTATAGTGGACACACACTGTGTTGTCACCTTCACTGAACTGTTTACCATTACTCCAAGATCTCTTTCCTCATCAGTTACTGTTAGTTCTAATCCCATCAGCAAACTTGGCTATTCCACTAGTCACACCTGGTTCCAGATCATTTATAAATATACTAAAAAGCACCATCCTAGGACAGAACCTGGGGGACCCCATTAGTTACATCCCTCCATTGTGAGAAATGTCCATTGATTCCTATCCTTGGTTTTTTCTTCTTTAGCCAGTTGCTTATCTACAAGAGGACTGCCCTGTTATTTCATGGCTGTTAAGCTTACTGAGAAGTCTTTGATGAAGGGACTTAATCAAAGGCTTTTGGAAAATCTAAGTGGATGATGTCTGCTGACTCACCTTATCCACCCTCAAAAAATTCTTGTAGATTAGTTAGACAGGACCTTCCCTTAGCAAAGTCCTGTTGGATATCCTTGAACAAGGCCTGTGTCTCTAAATGTTTGATATTTTATCTTTAATAGCAGTTTCCACTATATTCCCCAGAACAGATGTTAAGCTGACAGGCCTACAATTTGCCTGATCTCCCCATGAATCCTTCTTAAAAATAAGAGTTACGTTGGCCACCTTCTAGTTCTCAGCTAGAGAGGGTGAGTATATACACAGACTGATATTTTAGTTAGGAGGTCTACAATTTCAGCTTTAAGTTCCTGAATAACCCCTGCAGGGAAGACATCAGGGTCTGGTGGCTGTTCAGTTTGTCAATAAGGCCTAGCACATCTTCTCTTGTCACCACTATATGGCTCAGTTCATCTGATTCCCTTCTTGAGAGCAGGAACTCAGGCTTGGGGATCTGCCCCAATTTTTCTCCTGTGCAGATGCAGGCAAAAATTTGTTCAGCTTCTCTGTAATTTCCTTTTTTAGCACACCTTTGACTCCTTCTTCATCCAAGGGACCAATGGCCTCCCTGGCTGGCTTCCTGGTTCTCACATATGTGAAGAATCTTCACAGTTTTGGCAATATGCTCCTCAAATTTTCTTTTTGCCTCCCTCACTGTCTCTTTGCATTTCTTTTGCCAGAGTTTATGCAGACGCTCATCAGCTCCTGTTGGCTTTCTTCCTGCCCTCCGTTTAAAAGCTGCTACCTTTTTAATTTTAAGCACCAGCAGTTTGGTTCCCATTTGGTTCAAATGGAGCCCATCTCTACTGTACAGGTTGTCTTTTCTCAAAACATTCTCCAATGCCTAATAAACTGGAAGCCCTCCTCTCAGCACCAACATCTCGTCCACACATTTCAACTCTGCCTGTCCTGCATATGGAACAGACAGCATTTCAGAGAAAGTGCTCTGGAGGTCCTGGCTTTCAGCTTCATGCTGAGCAACTGGAATTTGGCTTATCACCCTGTGAGTGGGACTCTGCTATCATGTCCTCGAGAGCCCCATCTACCTCCCTCTCTGCCTCATTTACCAGTTCCAGTAGAACTACCTTGACTTCAAGGCACTGAACTTGTTCCCTGAGTGCTAGGAGCTCCTTGCACCAAACACACACCCACAATCTCTGTCCAGTGGTCATATAATGGCACTTAGTATGTCCCGCACCCCTGCTGGAGACCTACCTTCATATCTATTTTAAAAGATATATATTTTATTTAAATTTAATCTATGTTTAGCCTGATTCCTAAATTTTTGGAAGATCAATTATGTTTCTTTTTTTTAAGTTTGAATTTTAGCCCCTCCACATCTCAAGAGCTCTCTGATTCCACCCCTGGTTGCTAAGGGACAGGAGGTCCAGAAGCTAGCCCAAAACAGAAAAACATTCAGAAATACACTCAGAAACTTCACTTAACACATGGATAAATCTCTCCCCAAATCTCACACTTAACTCCTTCTCGCCATGTCTCCTTTTTATGACCAGTTTCTACCCAAGCTTCCAAGTTTAGGATTCTCTGCTTCTTCTCGTCTTTGAGCGGTTCCAAGCAGCAGCAAGTTCTCAGACTTAATTGCAAAACTAAGTGCCACCATATGGGCTCACAGGCACCCTTATAAAAATGTAAATAGTAGATAGGTGCAGATGAATGCTGCTATCATCATCATCTATCCATCCAACAAATATCAGTCTTTACAC